AAATGGCAAATTTTCATTATTTTTGTGGCTGAATAATATTCCATTGTGTGTGTATACACACATACATACATACACATACACACACACACACACTCCCCACATCATCTTTATCCATTCATCTGTTGATAGACATTTAGCTTACTTCTATATCTTGACTATTGTAAACAGTGCTGCTTTGAACATTAGGGTGCATATATCTTTTTGAATTGTGTTCTTCAGATATATACCCAGGAGTGGAATTGTGAAATCATATGGTAGTCCTATTTTTAATATTCATAGGAACCTCCATACTGTTTTCCATAGTAGCTGTACCAATTTACATTCCCACCAACAGTGAACAAGGGTTCCCTTTTCTCCACATCCTTGCCAACATTTATTCCTCGTCTTTTTGACATTAGTCATTCTGACAGGTGTGAGGTGATAGCTCATTGTGGTTCTGATTTGCATTTCCCTGATGTTTGGTGATGCTGAGCATATTTTCATATGCCTACTGGCCATCTGTACATCTACTCTGGAAAGATATTTATTCAAGCCTTCACGCCATTTCTTAATCAGGTTTTTTTGATAGTGAATTGTGTGAGTTTTTGATACATTTTGGATATAGGCCCCTTGTCAGTTATATCATTTGCAAACATCTTCTCCCACTTGGTAGGTTATCTTTTCATTTGTTCATGGTCTCCTTTGCAAAAGCTTTTAAGTCTAATTAGGTAAAATTTGTTTATTTTTGCTACTGTTTTCCTTGCCTAAGGAAACACACCATTTTTTTTTTTTTTGCTAAGAATTATGTCAAACAGTTCACTGCCTATTTTTTCTCCTAGGAGTTTTATGATTTCTGGTCTTTTGTTTAGGTTTTTACAATTTCAAGTTTATTTTTGTACATGGTATGAGAGAATATTCTAACTTCATTTTTTTTCCACATGTAGTAGTCCAATGCTCTCAGCACTGCTTATTTAAGAGAGACTGTATTTTCCCCGTTGCATATTTTTACCCCTTTTGTTGTAGACTGGTTGACCATAGGTGTGTGGGTTTACTTCTGGGCTCTCTATATTGTTCCATTGATCCATACGTCTGTTTTGTGCCAGTGCTTTACTCTTTTGATCACCATAGCTTTGAAGTATAGTCTGAAATCAGGGAGTGTGATACTTCCAGCTTTGTACTTTTTTCTCCAGGTTGCTTTGGCTATTTGCGGTATTTTGTAGTTCCATGTGACTTTTGGGATTGTTTTAGTTCTGCAAAGAATGTCACAGGTATTTTGATAGGGACTGCATTAAATCTGTAGATTTGGGTGACATGAACACTTTAACAACATTAATTCTTCCAGTCTATGAATACGGAATATCTTTCCATTTCTTTCTATCATCTTCAATTTCCCTCATCAATGTTTTTATAAAAAGTTTTCAGAGTAGAGGTCTTTCTCTCCCATTGCTGACCCTCTCATTTTCCATCTGCATTGCTCCCTAACCTCAGCAGCTTTTTGACCATTATTTTGAAGTCTATCAGGTACATCACTTTTCTCCATTTTATTAAGATCTTTTTCTAGAGATTATCTTGTTCTTTTGCTGGGAACATATTCCTGTTTCTTCATTTTCCTTGACTCTGTCGATTTCTGAGCATTAGATAAAACAGCCACCTCTCCCAGCCTTGACAGAACGGTCTTGTGTAGGAGATAAGCCTCATCTATCAGCCTGGCTCTGGCTCCTGGTTCTCTCAAACCTCTGGGATTATCCAAGGTGTCTCCTTTGTTCTCAGTGGCTCGCAGTAGTTGAGGGCATGCCAACACCAATCAGTGTCCTAAAATGGAGAATCTCAGCCAGCATCTAGATACAGACTGACTGTAAGGCAGACCCTTAGGCAGCAGCTGGGGAAGTATGTTGCTAAGCCCCTTCCAGGGAGAAGCTGGGAGATAAGCATTTTTGCCTGCATGCTCTGCTCTGGGCCCACATATGTAGCTGCAGAGATTAGGGGGTGCTTCTGTGCCCATTAAGAAATGCTTCTATTTGCTACTGTCCTGTGGGACTCATGAAGGCAAGCCCTGTTAGCAATCAGAGCCAGGCCCACCCCTTAGAAGCAGCAGCAAAGTTGGGCATAGATATGCGTACAAGCTCCTTCCTTGGTGACACTGGCGAGTTTGAGTGGCTATAAGGAGACAGCAGGGGAGGTGTCCACCAGCTTCCCGGCTCCAGGGATCACAGCTAACACCTAGATATGTGGTATAAGGTATAAGCCTGACCCTGAAGCAGCAGGTTTCAAAGTACGCAGATACGCTCTTTCAGAAAAAGTGGAAAACTGCTGATTTTTGCCTGCTTCTTTGACTCTAGGCCCACAGGGCAGCTAGCCACAACAAGTGCTCTCACACCCTTCAACAACTGCTCCTTTGTTTGCTAGTTGTGTGGGTGCAAGCCTCTTTGGCCTTCAGAGCTAGGTGTTTCGGAGGACCCACCTGGAGGGAGGGAGTTCAAGTACCCCTTTGTCATCATCTTCTCTGACTCTCGCACCTGGTAACTTTTTAAAAATACCAATGCCTGGGCCTCTATCTCAGATTCTCATTTCACTGGTCTGGGGCAGGGACCTGGCACTGATAACTGTAAACTGCCCCAGAGATTTGCATGTGCCATCAGGCTGGAGGGCCCTGTCTGGGTGCTACTGTAGCTCATCCTCAACAGTTTTGACCAAAGCCTCCTGGATCCCTAATCTCCAGTGGGGACTTCCCATCAAGAGAAAGGAATGCTGTTGCTCAGTAGGGCCCAGAGTATTTCTGAGGGTCCACTAAGTAACAGTGGGAATGAAACACTGCCACGTGTGCTCATGCATTGTGAGAACATGATTTTAGATCCCTTTGCACATCACTTATTAGAAAGACAAATCAAATAACACACTGGACATCTTCAAAACTCGCCTCTCACCTCAGATGAAGCCTGAAGCTTGTCAGCATCAGAGCTTCCAGCCCCTGGGACAAAGACATAACTTACTGGCAGTAAGCCTGACAGCGTTAGAGAATTTAAGAACTGACCCGAGAGCAATAGCTATTAGATTTAAACAGTCCTATAAAACGTGAACTGTAACTAGAGGAATATACCTCAAAATGATAAGATTTCTCAAATATAACAAATTATTGTGTTGCCAAATGAGGCAAACAATGCCTCACACCCAGCAGACACAAAATAAAAATTTTAAATACTGGAATACTCATCAATTAAAGCAGGTGTTAATAAAACTTCAAGTTTTCTTTGGATAACAAGATTAGCATGCATTTCAGGGGTAAATGAACACTTTCTCCAACAATTATACTATAATTATAGGTATTGCAGTACTTTTTGAAGGAAAGTAAATTTCAAAAAAACATTCATTTCATTAAATGCTGTCTGAATTGTACTTAACCTAAAGGAGATGATCACCTGTCAGTCCTGGAAGAACTGGTAAGAAAAAGTGCCCAGTCTAGAGTCACAAGTCAAAGTGCTCTATGAAATCTATCCTTTTCTCCAGGACATTTTTACCACTAGATTTTTCTCCTTGAATGAATGAACATACGTATCCTGAGCACCAATATGCTAGATGCCGTTTAGGGTATCAGCTAGTGACTGAGCCAGAGTCTGAATCTAAGCTCTGCAGCTTGTTCTTGACACATGGAGCAGGCTATACAGTTTCACAGTCTCACATTCCTCATCTGCAAAAGGAGGACATCAACTTATAGGGTTATTATAACATATGCAACATACCTGGCTCTAACAGTTAACATAGCACTGGATTCTCACAACTCTGGGACAAGGTGGTACTGCCTGTTTGCAAACATGTGATCAAAGGAACTGAGAGGTTAAGACCTGGATATTGGTTCCTTTGAGGTATTTTCCTTTACATTAACTCACGTGCATTGTATATTCTTCTAGAAATGGGGAAACTGTCTCTAGGAAGTCAAAAAGCTACCGGCTCTGGTGTTTGGCAGCATGAAGAATGTCAAGAGTACTGAAGAGGAACTCAGTGGGCAACACAATGCAGGCGCCTGCAGTTTAACATGGTACGAGTTATGCTGTATCATCATTTGCTTCTGAATCCTTTTCATCAGGTGGACTGCCTGAAATGCGTGCTCACTGCCTACACTGCATTCCCTGATATCACAAGAGTTAATGTGTAACAGTATCATTAAATGTACACTGGAAAGGGGGTGTGGGGCAACTCACTGACTAGAATGGCAGACTTTTGCTTGGTGTTCCTCTTAAGAGTTCATGGCTTGGTGTCAAACCAAACATATATGCACTTTACTGGAATGTTCTAAACAAATGAAATATACTAACCATGTATTTAAAAGCTGACAGTCTGAAAACAAAGAGTTCCTCAAAATGCCAAGGAACCAGATTCCTATATTTTTTGGTTAGTTAACATTCCTTAAGAAAAGCAGTACTCATTGTTTTAACAGATTCTCCCCAATTAGTTGTCCTTACTTCTATTTTTAGATTCCGTGGCTCCTGAAGTAAACTACTACTTTCATCAGCAAAGCAAGTTCCAGGCAAAACTTCTTTAAGAAACCTGCCCAAATAGCTCATGCAGAGCCTTCCTGGGATGTCTTGACATGTGAATGCTACAGCCAGACCCATAAATGCAGGTGTATCACCACTAGACAATTCGACCTAAGCAGCAAAATCAGTTTTGCAACCGAAGGTAAGCGCTGCTCTTCACAGCAAGTCTTCCCAACAGTGTAGATTTAATTAATGTCAGAGTCACAGGCTGCTTCCTTTCCTAACGTCTCTCTCTACTGCTAATTTATTCTTTGTATCTTTCACTTTGCTGGTTATTTTAAAAATAAACTGCAGTACACTTAGCAAATGGCTACACACACACTTTCCATTTAGCCACATTTATCGAGCACCTTCCATGCACCAGGTACCTAATATATGCCTGGGATAAGAAACAGTCCCTCACTCTTAAGAGACCGTGATAGAAAAGGACTGCCTGAATTTGCTGCAGAGGATGGGGATGTCTAACAGTCAAGATTCTTTGTTACAAACTTTGGTAAAAGGAATTTATTGGCAGGATCACAGGGAGGCCACAGAATCAATGGGAGCCTATAGAATCAATTCACATATCTGGTATATCCCAGGGATGCTCATGTGGTAGAAACATCACCTACAACCCCTACATGATAGCTTCAATTAACATAGGAAACCGAGGGACAGTATTCAAGCAGGATAGCTTAACTTAGAGGCTCATCCCATGGCACCAGAAGCTAGATTGTTACATTCACAACATAAAAGTCATTTCTCCTTTAAAAAGAAATTCATCAACAGACACAAAAATGATTCAAATCGACATGCGGCTGATTGGTACACTCAGTATAAAGACATGCGGGGTACAACTTGTGGGTTACCTTTTTAATTCTGCTATGTATCAGTAAAGAATACAGACTTTAGGAAAATTCTTCCTATAGCCTTTGAAATTGATTTTTTATATATTTTTCCCCTTATTTCTTCAACACTCTTAAATCAGCAGGCTGCCATGTTAATTTTTACAAGGTGTAGTCTTCGTTCAATGTTAGAATTTAATCACTCAGTATAAAGTCTGATGCCTTTTTCCAAATCTCCATTTAAAATGTAAGCTAAAGGACAAAAGGAAAAAATTACTTCCCATGTGTCATATAAATTAGCCCTTAAAATTGTGGGCAATGACTCATTTTTTAAAATAATGCTGATGAACCAGAAATGTATTTCTTCCTCCCAATCTTCACAAGAGAATAGGGATAAGATGCTCTTAATAACTGAACTCTCCAGCTGATACAAAGGCTAAAATTAACAATTTAAACTATATATACATTCCTTCATAAACTAAGTATAGCGCACTCAATTTAGCACAGCTAGCGCCAAACCCTAAGACCCTCCACCTTTCTCCCAAGTCAAAGCCCTTTGCTGTTAGTAAGTTTTGTGTGGTCACAAAGCCAATCCTAATAGCTAACATTTTAACACTAGCTTACCTCTTAAAAAGGCTGAGATTTGTCCTATTACCGTCTCCATTCTTTTTTTCAGATGAAGAAACCAAAGCATAGTCAAGTGAGCACTGCAGCAATCACCTGGTCTTGTGAAGACTGCATCTGAGAGACTCTACATACATCCCCTCTACATATCTGCAGGGCAAGGTTGGAGACAGACAGGTAAGAACACAGATTCCTGCCTCCTCCATCTTCTATTCCATGCGATAAAGGGGCTAGTTACTTACACCTAGTATTTTTCCATTTATAAAACTGGAATAATGCTTCTACTTCATCAGATAATAGGCTAGTCCTTCTCAAACTCCCATCTACAGGATGAACATCTTCCTAGGGTTTTTATTTTTAAGGAATGAGATTTTGTTTTTAATGTAAGAATTTTTTGCTGCACTCTAACAAGGTTTAAGACATATGTGTTAAAAAAAAATTCTGAGAGAATACATTCTATACAGAGTGTCTGGACAATTTTATGCTTTTATGTTATGCTAAATGGCCAGCAGAGGTCTGAACCAGACAAGGTGAAACAACAGTAGCCTAAAAGCACTGTGCCACACTACCTCTCAGGCAACACTTTCAAGGGGCAACTCATCCTCAGTGATCTGACCAGCTTAGAAAGCTGTGGGTGGATAAAAGCATGGCATTTGCATCCAAAAACTTTATAATGAGCGCTGGTATCTCAAAGTACTGTGAAATCCTGACAGCTAAGAGAACTGTCTGAGATGCAATGTCAGCTCTTTGTTCGAGTCAGTTTCCCAAAATTAATGATTTCAAAGCAACAGCCAAGCTGCTCCCTAACTAGGACAGGAGGAGCTATTGTTTCCTAATAGTATACAATTTTTAAAATATTTATATTAAAACATGAGTATCGTATAAAATGAAAACTTTAAGTAATTTTACAAATGTCTTTGCACACATATTTCCCCTAATTGTTACATCAATAATGTCATTTACAAATGAGCCATCTTTTCAAAATAAGACAAAGCTGGAATTCAGGTCTTCTAAAATTCAGGTCTTGGTCTAACAATCAATCAATTTTTTTTAATCTAATACTGAAATAAAAATAATGCCATTATTATGTAATTATAATTTTATAATGTATAATTTTTCTAAATTTTCTTCCTAAAAACATTAAAACTGAGTTACTTAATATTCTTAACATACTTAATCATAAATTACGTAAAAATATAGAAACATGAACCATAAAGTACACAGTTTTAACTATATCTCCTACTTCAGTAGTACGTGTGGGCAAAGTAATTTTCTTTCAAGTAATCAGTAAGTCATACCTTTTATTTAGTACTTTTAAATAATACATATGTAGGCACTTACTTTAGAAACTACAGTATGTGCCAATAATGTACAATATGCTACCCATACGTTCAATTTTTCCAAAAACAATTAGGAGGTTTTTTTTTTTTTAAGAAAACAAGAAATTTTAATAGGTACTGGATTCCTCTGATTCTAACTCATTGCTAGGCTCGAAAAAATAGGCTTTTTCTACCAAGAATCTGAAATTAGAATTGAGTCTTCTCCAAAGCAGAAATTATAGAGTACAGCGCTATTTCAGGAACAGACTATTCAGCTCTCACCCCCAATATCCACAAATGCCTATCATAATAGTTAAACCAGGTCAAAACAGTCCATAATTAGGCTTCAATATAATATGCTAGGCCATTATGTTCTAAGATGCTAATAAACCAAAACCAGAAATGTTGAAATCAAAAGATACTACTTGAGGCTACTTATCACATAGATTGTTACTTCCTTGTTGTACTCCTAGAACATTAATAAAGGGAATATTTTACTGCAGAAAAAATTTTATTTTACATATCACTAGCCATGAATTTGTCATTAGTTATTATGTAAATACTGCCTAGTGCCAGTAAACAAATGGCATGGCCATTTTATGTCCACAATTCACCTCTGTATTTACAAACAGAATGTTCATGATTTATAAAAGGGTATCTATCAGTGGTTTAACGTTGAGATGCAATCTAGCATCCGTTATATCTGGTGTTCTGCAGATAGCAACGTAGGAGAGAAGTATTTTAATCTCCTTTCCTTTGAGTGACCTTAGGTAAAAAAAGAAATCAATAATTTAGAAGTTCTAGCTCTCCAAAGGAGATTATAGAAATGGTTACAGACAGGGTATTAAGAAACCTCTTCCATGTCCACATCCTCTTGTAATTTCTGTACCATTTTGTCTTCCAGCTGCTTTCCTTTGCCTTAAAAAAAATTAAAAAATAAACTTTATCAATTCAGTGCGACCTTACAGAACTCATATCAGCACTTAAAAAACGAATATTTAATGTTATTTTAAAACATCCAAGATCCTAAGTAGTTTAGAAATAG